AATGCTCATTGTATGACGTCTTAGTTTATATCTGTTCATTGCCACATGAACAGGACCCTGGACTGAGGCTGTAGCCAGGACTGAGGTGTAGACCAGGACTGAGGCTGCATGGACCCAGGAATTGAGGCTGCGGAACAAGGGACTGAGGCTTGTAGACCCAGCGACTGAGGCTGTGACCCTAGGACTGGGCTGTAGGACCCAGGCTGAGGCTGTAGACCCAGATGAGGCTGTAGACCCAGGACTGAGCTGTAGACCAGGCTGAGGCTGCAGACCCAGGACTGTGGCTGCAGACCCTAGGACTGAGGCTGCAGACCAGGACGTGGCTGTAGACCAGGAATGAGGCTCTTAGACCCGACTGAGCTGTAGACCCAGGATGGTTGTAGAAAGTGGCTCTATACAGGTGGGGGGTGTAGGCCCATGGGTCGGAGCAACCAGCTTTAATGCAGAAACCCGATGTTTGATGTTGAAGAGAACTAATCATTTCCACTTCTACACATCAAAAATATTAGAATTATCTAGTACGTTGTAGTGTTTGTGCAGATCTACAAGTACATCTACAGAATGGGGTTCACCTGTGATCAGTGTGAAAGACCTGCAGCTCTGCTTCTGATCTAAAGAGTCACCACAGAACTACACTGAGGAAAACCTTTACGTGTGTGATCATGTGTGGAACATGTTTTACTACAAACAAATCTCAAGGGCTCCACAAACAGAATCCTCAATGGAGAAAAAACCCTTTCTAGCTGCAACGATTGTGATCTGAGTTTTAGACAAGAGGGTTCTTCAAAGGTCATCAGAGGATCACACAGGAGAGAAACCATGTTGAGTGTGACAGTGTGAAAAAAACATTTAGGACCATACAGTGCTCTCACTACATCAGCATGTCCACACAGGAGAGAGACTCACACAATGTGACCAGTCTGTGAATGACTTTTACATGTTTTTCTCTAACCTCAGTGATCACTACAGAATCACACTGGAGATAAACATTCGTCTGTGGAGACTGTGGGAAGACGTTTACGCAGTCTTCACACGTACAAACACTATGAGAGGTATCCACCAATGGAGAGAAATCTTCAGCTGTTCTACGTCGATTGTGGTCAAGTTTTCTGGAGTGATCATATCAAGTGCTATCAGAGAATCCACAATGAGAAAAGCCATTTGCATGTGACTTCTCAGTATAAAACTTTTAACACTGCAACAGAGCGCACACGTCACCTTCGGAAGCCACACTGGAGAGAAGCCGTACGAGTGTGACCAGTGTGGGAACTTTTTTAACGGAAAGAGGGAAATTCTTAACCAAGCACAAAAGTATCCACAATGGAGGGTAATACCTTCATGCTGCGCGATTGTGGTCAGAGTTTTTCTCTGAGTGGTCATCTTTCAAAGTGCATCTGAGGATCCACACTGGACTGAGAGAAACCATTTGTCAGTGGAAAAGTGACGAAAAGTCTTTTCACTAATGGTTCATCTCTTACTAAACACATTTAAAACCGTAGAGAAGCAGGTCTGAAGCATCGGACCAAAAGTGAAGGAGACAGAGCTGAGGCTGCATCCTGTGAACCCAGAGTCAGATCACAGGATCTCACTTCAGTCTTAACTCCTGAGTTTTGGGAAAGAATCCATTTGTTTCAGTGTTTCATTCATGTTTGACTTTTCGGTTCATTAAGCGCGTTCAGACCAAAATGCTTCAAAAAGCTTTTGAAGCGCTTCAACTGACGCCGGGATAGTTTTGTCCTTTTGGTGCTTGAAGCTTGACGCGAGGTGACGCGCTGACGCCGGTGGTGGGGAGCTTCTCTTGTTGCCTGTAGTCAGGACAGCGGTGGATTTTTCAATGTGCATCGAAGCCTTTATTTTGTTATATAAAGCAAAATAACGTTGTTGTAGGGCTTCAACAAACATGTTCTGGGTTCTCAACAGACTTGAGAGGCTGCAGTGGTTTGCAGAGTTCCGATTTACTCCAGGGAGCTGCGTACGGAGGAGTTTCGCTTTTCGCGGTACGTCGCATGTCACCTCGCACAGTTCTGAGTTCTCAAACCCGGAGCTGCCTCTCCCGCCTCTCCTGCCTCTCCCGCTCTCTCTCGCTCTCCCTGCCTCTCCAAGGCTCGCGCCGCCCGGAGCTGCCGTGCTCTGAGCCAGACTCATCGTCAGCTGTTCTTATTTTAAATAAACTACGTTTTATCTACACAGGCATGTGTTCAATGATTTTGTTACTCTGAATGTTACTATCATACAAATATTTTATTATACAATAATGACCAATAAAACAGCAGCAGCTGACTTTCTTCATGACAGAGACTAGACACTTGCTGCTGCGGCTCTCGTCTCCTGCTTGGTTGAAGCCGCGTCATTGTTCATTAGCTCAGCTTTGACTCAGACTTCGGCGTCCAAAGGGATTGTTTTGATACGCTGAGCGTTTTCGCGCGTCAAATGCTTCATGTGAGCGCGTAACGTACGCGCGGACTCTTGAAGCTTTTTGACGCGCGTCAAGTGAAGCCGTGGCTCTCGGCGTCACCCCTGACGCCGCTCACCATTCACTTTCAATGGAAAAACCTGTCGCTTTTGACGGCCGAAGCTGAGGCAAAGCTGTGCTTTTGATGCTTTGACGCGGGCTTCAACATTCAGGAGTCGAGGGCTGCTGACAGCAGGAGGGTGCTGTCTCTGTCATGAGAGAAGTCATGCTTGCTGCTGTTTTATTGTCTTTATGGTTATTAGTAATATTATTGTATGCAGTGAAGTAACATTCTGAGTAACAAAATCATTGTACAATGCTGTGTAGTAAACGTATAGTTTATTTAATATAAGAACAGTGCTGCGATGAGTCTGGCTCTGAGCAAGGCAGCTCCAGGGCGAGGCGAGAGCCGGGGAGAGGAGGAGAGGCGAGAGAGAGCCGGGGAGAGGCAGGGAGAGGCGGGGTGAGGCGAGCGCCGGGGGTTGAGAACTCAGGACTGGGCGAGTGACATGCGGAAAGTACGGTGAAAAGCGAAACTCCTCCGTACGCTAGACTCCTGGGGTAAATGACGGAACTCTGCAAACACTGCAGCCTCTACAAGTCTGTTGGTGACCCAGAACATGTTTTGTTGACAGCCTACAACTACGTTTATTTTTCGTTATAGAACTAATTTAAAGGTCGATGCTCATTGAAAAATCCACCGCTGTCCTGACTACAGGCTAACAGAGAAGTCCTCCCACAGGGTCATGCGCGTTCACTCGAGTCAAAAGCTTTCTTGCACCAAAAGGACAAAAAAACTATCCCGGCGTCCCTGTTGAAGCGCGTCAAAAGCTATTTTGGAAGCTTTTGCGTCTGAACGCGCGTTAAGGAACAGAAAAGTCAAACATGAAAATGAAACATGAACAGAATGGATTCTTTCCCCAATCCAGGAGTTAAGACTGATGTGAGATCCCTGTAGAGTCTGACTCTGGGTTCACTGATGCTGACTAAGCTCTGTTCTCCTTCACTTTGGTCCAGATGCTTCTGACCTGCTTCTCTACAGGTTTATGTGTTTAGTAAGAGATGAACCATTAGTTAAAGACTTTTCGCACTTTTCACAGACAAATGGTTTTCCCAGTGTGGGATCCTCTGATGCACTTTGAGATGACCACTCAGAGAAAAACTCTGGACCACAATCGTTCGCTGCTGAAGGGTTTCTCTCAGTGTGGATTTCTTTTGTGCTGGTTAAGAATTCCTCTGTCGTTTTAAAACATGTTCCACTACTAGGTCACACTCGTACGGCTTCTCTCCAGTGTGGCTCCGATGGTGACGTGTGCGCTCTGTGCGGTTTTAAAAGGTTTTACTGCTGAAGTCACATGCAAATGGATTGTATCCAGTGTGGATTCTCGTATTGCACTTTGTGATGATCACTCCGAGAAAAACTCTCGACCACAATCGTCGCTGCTGGAGGATTTCTCTCTGTGTGGATTCTCTCCATGTGCTCTTGTTGTGTGAAGAATGAGTAAACGTCTTCCACTGTTCTCCACAAGAGATTGGTTATCTCCTGTGTGGATTATGTAGTGATCAGGAGGTCGGTTAAACATGTAAAAGTCTTGTACACTGGTCACATTGGTGAGGTCTATTCTCCTGTGTGGACATGCTGATGTTGTGAGAGCAGCTGTTTGGTTCCTAATTGTTTTTCACACTGGTCACACCTCAAATGGTTTCTCTCCTTGTGTGGATCCTCTGATGACCTTTGAGAGTACCCTACTGGTCTAAAACTTCTGATCACAATCGTTGGGACAGCTGAAGGGTTTTTCCATGTGGTGGATTCTTGGTGTGGGACCTTGAGATTCTGTTTTGTAGTAAAACATGTTTCCACAAGATCACACTCGTTATGGTTTTTCCTCCAGTGTGAGTTATGTTGTGTCTCTTTAGATCAGTTGCAGAGATGCTGGTCTTTCCAACACTCGATCACAGTGTGAACCCCATTCTGTCGATGGACTTTGTAGTCTGCAACAACACTACAACGTCAGATAATTTAAATATGTTTGTTGGTGGTAGAAGTGAGATATAGTAGAATGATTTTTGTTCTCTTTTCAACATTCAAAACATCGGGTTCTGCAAATTAAAAAGCTGGTTGCTCCCGACCCATGGCTACACCCCCCACCCTGTATAGGAGCACTTCTACAACCTCCAGTCCTGGGGTCTACAGCTCAGTCCTTGGGTCTAGAGCCTCAGTCCTGGGTTACAGCCTAAGTCCTGGTCTGCGCCTCAGTCCTGGGGTCTGCAGCCTCAGTCCTGGGTCTGCAGGCCTCAGTCCTGGGTCTACAGCCTTCAGGTCTGGGTCTACAGCCTCAGTCCTGGGGGTTCACGAGCTCAGTCCTGGGGTCTACAGCCTCAGTCACTGGGTATACAGCCTCAGTCCTGGGTCTACAGCCTCAGTCCTGGGTCTGCAGCCTCAGTCCTGGGTCTGCAGCCTAGTCCTGGGTCTACAGCCTCAGTCTGGGTCTATCGTGCGAGCCTCAGTCCTTGGGACCCTGTTCATGTGGTTGATACATAATAGAAACTATGTGCGTACATAGTTGTTGCTGGTACTGTAGTTGTAGTTGTTGCTGGTGCTGTAGTTGTAGTTGTTGCTGGTGCTGTAGTTGTAGTTGTTGCTGGTGCTGTAGTTGTAGTTGTTGCTGGTACTGTAGTTGTAGTTGTTGCTGGTGCTGTAGTTGTAGTCGTTGCTGGTGCTGTAGTTGTAGTTGTTGCTGGTGTTGTAGTTGTTGCTGGAGTTGTAGTTGTTGCTGGTACTGTAGTTGTAGTTGTTGCTGGTGCTGTAGTTGTTGCTGGTGCTGTAGTTGTATTCGTTGCTGGTGCTGTAGTTGTAGTTGTTGCTGGTCCTGTAGTTGTTGCTGGTACTGTAGTTGTTGCTGGAGTTGTAGTTGTTGCTGGTGCTGTAGTTGTATTCGTTGCTGGTGCTGTAGTTGTAGTTGTTGCTATGAGAGAAAACACCAGATGTAAGTCATTAATGATCATACATTCACCATGCACAGAACACCTCCCCAGGGAGGCGTCCAGGAGGCATCCGGAACAGATGCCCTGAGCCACCTCAACTGGTTCCTCTGGACGTGGAGAAGCAGCGGCTCTACTCCGAGCTCCTCCCATGTGACTGAGCTCCTCACCCTATCCCTTAGGCTGCGGTCACATGCACAGCCTAAAGCCCAGTTAAAGTGGGCCTGGGTGTGGTGGGGGCTTGATATTCTGCGTCACATTACGTCTTCCGTTGTGACGGGCATTTTCACACCCGTCTTTCCTGCACTTTCGTATTCTCCGCTTGTGTTAAACCTTTCATATAAGCCCCGGACCGTGGTCAAGGGGCGCAAAGAAAAGCTAAAGACCATCGGTGAGAGAGGGAACAAAGAATGACCAGTAAATGGAGAGCTTTTCCTTTCGGCTCAGCTTCCTCTTTACCACAACAGTCCGATAAAACAGCCGACTTACTGCCGGCAACGCAAGCTGTGACTCCGGTCATACAGGGACCGGACGGCCCTCAGCAGAGGACCCGGCACTCCCGGAGAACCTCCCAAAAGGACACCCCCCAGGTAACATGGTCGAACACCTTCTCCAAGTCCACAAAGCACATGTGGACAGGTGGGGCGGACTAATGGATCATTTCTTTGTAGTTTCATGACCAATCCAAATGAATTAGAATAATAGAATTTTAACATAAGTGCTGGACTCCACCGGCCGCGTCTCTGTTCGGCTCGCTGTGGCTATGATCTATGCAAAGCACGGCACTATTGCACTACTACATCGAGGAAGTTGCGATGGATGAGGCAAAACTTATTGAAAGCAAATGGTAAAAAGGGGTGTAGAGAGAAAACAACTCCAACATATCCAGGCTTTTTTGAAAGCGAGTCAATATTGACATTACGCGATAAATAAACGGCAGATTTACAGAAACAGAGATGAAACAGGCACGTTTGGACGGATACGTAGTAGGTTTTACGCAGCCGGTGGAGTCGGGGCCTAAGTGTGAACTGAATAGAACTGAAGAGAACTCAAGAGTACCAACCTAAAACAAACCAACCTAAACATTACTAACCTAAGCATTACCAACCTAAACAAACCAACCTAAACATTACTAACCTAAGCATTACTAACCTAAACATTACCAACGTATACAAAATAAATGCTAATTTCCCTTTGAGTTGAAGCAGATATTGAAAGACAAAGTATGGAGTTCCTGAAAAAAGCTGGATCAGTTCTGTGCACTATAAGATCATTAGTATATCACATGTTTAAAAAGCACAGCCCCCTGTGGCTGGAGGTCTAAATGCCATGTTTTGCAGGAGCACATGAGGACTATAGTGCGGCTGATATTCACCTGTGTTGATGGACAGAGCCACAGCTAAGGCCAGGGACAGCAGCAGCTTGAGTGCAGTCTTCATGTCTGCAGATGTCTTCAGGCGTCTGTCTTTCTCCTGTCTAATGCACCTGTACCTGTGACTGTTCTGATGGATGCTGCTCCTTCTGACTCCTTTTAAACTGGATGTGCTTTGGGAGGGCCCGTTGCTCTGACGGTCATTCCAGGTTCATCCACGTCACACAACAAGGAACCATTTTTTAAAAAATGTCTCATACCTCACTGGAACTGGCTTGGCCGTTACTATTATCCATCTGTGCTTCACAGCTTTGCCAGGATATAGTACTATGTAATAAATAATTAGGTACATAAGATGAATTACATGATTATAGAGTATTAGGTCAAAATGAAGTCCACACCATGACTGTCCGTTACAGAAAATCAAATGATTGGTTAACAGAAATCTTGATTTAAAGGTTATATTTACATACATACAGTATGTGATAATACTTTGCATGATACAACACACATTTTTTGCATGAAGTCACCTTTGCAAACACTAGTATGAGTGCGCCTTCCACTGTGAGCCTGTCATCCCACCCTCACCCGTCTCCCCCCACCCGTACGGTAACGTAGCCTTACCCTGACTTTGTAATCACCATGGACTGTAAATATTGAAAACATTCAACTATTTAGTTTTCACCGGTACATAATCATTTCAGGCCTGAGACTTTTTCTCTTTGTCACATAGAGCCCAGAGAGCCTCTAGAACCCAAGAGGGGGACCCTAAATTATTAAGCTCATAGAAGTATACGACGTGTTAGTTTCCAGATCAGCGTTTGGTCCATGAAAGAGCCCATTGTGCCAAGAGGAAGCAAACAGTCACATATAATCCATTGTGCCAAGAGGAAGCAAACAGTCACATAAAACCCATGTGTCAAGAGGAAGCAAACAGTCACATACACTCTTAAAAGTCATCCAGGTCACGTATTGAAAAAATACTTTATTTATTTCCTCTAAGTAGAAAAAGTGAGCAGTTCATTGTAGGTTAATTTTCTGTGCTGCAGTATAATTTGATTAGCAGCTTTAACTCAAATATAGAGACTGTTCAGTAAGGCAAAAATATTTACCTGCCTGAAAGGACCTTTTATGTTACAACAATTGCAACAAAAAATGTGTTGGCGTGAAAATACAAAAACCCTCCACAACTGGATGTTTTTACCTGGCAACTTAATGTTTTGACTGGCCCATGCTCCTCCCACTGAACATGCCCGGGCAAGTTCTGCAAAGACTTGATCAGGACGTGATCCGCTAAACTGCTTTTCCAAGCACGTTGGAAAGGTACGTGGCATTTTATTCAAACCAGGAGCATTGCATTCGCAAAAACATGTGTACAATTTGCTGTTACCTCTGTGAAACAAATAGTCACGTACTTTAGAAATCATTTACATGTATGTTAGTATTAGATAGCAATATGGCCTACGTGCAGAACTGTACAAGGACTCTGATTATTATGACTATGATGTGACTGTCTCTGTGTGACACGTCTTTCCATGTGTGACGTGACAATGACTATATAAACTGTGTACTGCCTTTATTCTGTCTGAGAGAAAGAAACAATTGAAACCACTGGAACTTGAGAGAAACTTAAATAAACGTCCAGATAACGTGCTGTTGCTCCCACGCCGAAAAAAAAGAAACAAAGGAAACTCCCTCAAAACAATCCAGAGAATGGCGCACACTGAGCCGCACATTCTCCACCAAATCTGTCAGGAATGAAGCAGACAGAGACGGATCGTGGTGCGCCAAACTCTGGAAGTTTATTTAAGTTTCTCTCAAGTTCCAGTGGTTTCAATTGTTTCTTTCTCTCAGACAGAATAAAGTCAGTTCACAGTTTATATAGTCATTGTCACGTCACACATCGAAAGACGTGTCACACAGAGACAGTCACATCATAGTCAAAATAATCAGAGTTAGGCCATATTGCTATCTAATACTAACATGTACAATCGTCGAGTGTGAAAGGCTAAAAGTAAAACTGTTGGCCGTTGCATATGCTCTTTGCTTTGTTGATTTGTATATTTGTAGGGGTGGGAACCTAAGGGTACCTCACAATACGATACGATACACGATACAAAGCTCACAATAACGTTATTATCACGATAACGTTATTATCACGATAACGTTATTATCACGATAACGTTATTATCACGATAACGATTTTATCACGATATGACGATTATCAATATATTGGTCAGAAATATACAATATGCCAATTTATGGCATAAATAAAAGAAAAAATACACTTTATTTCATGATAAATGGAATGGAGATGCGTAATGTAGCCATATATTAAGTAATGATACCAATTCAAAAAAAAAAATTGTAAAAAAAAAAAAAAGATAAATGTATTTTTCAAAATACATCTTAATTTTTCAATTGCAAGAAGGGCATTTGGTTTGAAACGTTCATGCCACGGCTGTGGCCCGCCTTTTTCTGTGCTACAGTCAGTTAGAATTTTCGCTAATCGTGTTTTTTGAGAGACTCGCGGCCTGTGTAAAGTTGTTTGATGTATTTTTCCAAAAAAACACGTTCGGGAAGGTTCTCTTGTTAGCGAGTTAAAGCTGCACTAACTGATTTTGATACATTTTCAAACGCGAGCGATGGCCTCCCTCTCTCTGCTCGCCCTCCCCGCACCCACGGAGCTTTCGCCCCCCACTACCCCCCTCCCCCGCAGCCTGTGCTCTGTGCTGTTGTTAGCTTCGGAGCTAGCGTCTCACAATATGAAACAATATGGCACTTTTGCACGTGGATGGCGTGACCATAGAATGACAGAACCGGGAAGCGCGGAGAGGACGAGACTTTCTTTTGGATGGATGTTTCACTGTGTAAGCAGTAACGAAGACACGGGAAGTTTCAGGTTAGCCTCCGCCACTTGTTGTGCTAACTCAGCTGTCGGTGCTAACTCAGCTGTCGGTGCTAACCAGAGACCTGTAGCTTTTCTCAAGAAAGCGGCGGCCGGTGGTCCGTTGTGATTGGTCACAATCTGAGACCCGAACCACATTCTCTTCCTTGTTTCATGAAAACTCGATCTAAAATATAATGTCACGCCAGCACAAACCTGCGCTACTTATTCTTTAAAAGGACGTATGTCCCAATCCACTGCATGGATATGGATTGCATTTTCGTAATGAATACGAAAATAAAGGCAGTTGGTGCAGCTTTAAAATGAACCGGACTTTCTCTCTCCGTCGTCAGGAAGTCCTGTGTGAAGAGCCGCCGGTCAAGGAGCGCTGGCCAGCACTTTTCAATGCATCACAGGTAATGTATATATATTTATGCATCCATTACACGTTAAAAGCACTACTTTACAAAGCTCAGAGTGGTGTAATAATGTGTATGATGTATGTTTAATACATGTGTGTTGCAGATAAATGAAGAATTCAAAAGAATTACGACAGTGAGACTGGAGCCCACCTTCATGGCACAACCGGACCACTGCATTAGCAAACTAATGGAGAACGGGTCAGACTGAGGTAGGGATGTAAATCGGTGACCGTTTAATCAGTGGTTGACCGTCACAGCGTTAACCGGTCGAAGCTGTCGGTTAAAAAAAGAAAAAAGAGGGAGGTCTCTTCATAACGCTATTTTAAGCCCTATTTGCACGGTGTGACGAGCGGGTCCGTATCTAGCTGTGTGCGCCAATTTATCAGTAAACTCCGGGCCGACTCTCACGCCGCACGTGCCACATATGCACGCACACATGCACACGCACGCGCGCACACAGACACACACACAACCCCCCCTCCATTGATACATAACATCCACACGCATCATCTCTCCCCGACTCCACCGGGCGCGTGAAACGGACGACGGATCCGTCCAAACATGTCCGTTTCATCTCCGTCTCCGTTATCTCCATGAGGGTTATCTCCGTCTGACGCGCGTCGGACGGATTCCGTCAACGGAGGGTGCAACGGACGCGGACGGACGAAATAGAAACAATCCTATTTGTTCCGTCCGTCGACGCGTGTCTGGTCCGTTTATCATTGGAAATACAATAGAATAATATATTTACCACATTATTATACATGTATTGATACATGCTGTAGTCCTTGGTTATAAGTATTTGTTAATGACAATGATTATTAACAAACGTGTGTAATTTTGTTCATGTATTAAGTTAAATAATTGTTTCCTGATTGTACATATACCATTTATTTTTTGCGTAATGTTAATACGCTAAACTTTACATACACCTCTCTCTTTTTTCTCTCGCTCTGTCCCGTCTACCTGCGAGGCGCTCTCTCCTCACCGCACACACACATTACACACAGAGCTACTGCACTTATGAGAGACAGAGCTCACAACACTGGATATGTTAAAGTTCTTTTCTCTTTTCTCTCTCCCCTTTTTCCAATTGCTTTCAATAAGTTTTGCCTCATCCATCGCGACGTCCTCAATGCTTCAATATGCTGTGCTTTGCACTGATCATAGCCACAGCTCATTCAAATCACACACCGCTTCTTCTATTTCAAACGATAGCGGCTGCCTGTTGCCTAAAGCCGCAGAGAGGCGAGCTGGGTCCGATAAAAGTGTATCACACGCTAAATAAGTATAGAAAACAAACAAAGAGGCTGGATCATAATAAACGCTGCGGTCACAAGCCCAAACACACATGCACGCACATGCACACGCCTCCCACCACACACACACACAGACACACACACACACAGGCGCTCTCACGCTCACGCACACATGTACGCCGACAACACGTGACTCCTCCATCAGCCAAACATTCATTTATTCACATAATGACCAAACGTGTCTCCTACAAAAACAAAGCAGGCTGATAAACGCACAGCCAGAGCTGCGCGCTGCTGCAGCCGGTTTGACCACTAGTCCGTTTTACGGACGTCCAACGGACAGCAGCCAACGCGCGTCAACAGAGACGCGCCCGGTGGAGTCCAGGCCTTACCGCCAAAGTTGCACACAGGAGCTTACATTTACACAAATACTACTTTGGAGCTTACATTTACACACATACATACACACACACACACATACACTGGTCTGTCGCGCTCCTCTGTATGTTGTATGTACAAACTGTATGTTAACTTTAGCGGAGACCTGCGAGCTTAAAAATGCTGAATGGTCAGATTAAAAAAGCAGTTCTCTGTGCGCAAAGGTGCCGAAGCTGTTGCGGGTTTTGCCGCCGCTGTCTCGACTCTGATCCAGTAGAACGCATCTGTACTTATGAGAAGTACGCTGCTTGAAATGGCTGTTGTTTCAAAGAACGTGGGATATTTTAACC